AAATAATTTCTACATAGAAATATTTCTATTTCTACATGGAGTTGTAATGAGATTCTAATGAGGACAGTATCTGGCACATAGTAAGCATTCAATAAATACTGGATCAATAAATACTGGCTCATCTCCTCCTACAATCTAGAGTCCTTTTCTTTCCTTTTTTTTTCCCCAGGGAAAAAATATCCATTTATTTAAATGAATTGCAAAAAAGAGAATGGAGTGTGGCATTAGGAGTTCCTTTCTTAACCTTGAACTTTGTGACTAGCACAGAGAACAATGGGACCGTCATCTCCTACATGTATTTACTCTATTAAATCACAATATTAAGGATTCTTTGGTTAAAAGTGTCAGGAAATCAAGCACAAAATGTCCTAAAAACAAAATTAAACAAGAAGTCAGCTCATATGACTGAGAGACCAGAGATAGTAGGCTGTAGGCACAGTTGAATCCTTTGCTTAAATAATTTCATCAAAGCTCTTCATCCGTTTTCTTTATTTTCTTCTTTTTGCTTCTATTATCAGGCTGCTCCCTCCCTCATGGTGATTAAAAAAAAAAGACTGCCAAGCAACTTAAGGGTCACTTCTTACTTTCCCAACAACCATGCTGAACAGAGATTTCCTTTTGCTTAACATTTTAAATAAAAATCTCAGAATTGCCTTTGATTTGTTCTGCTGGGAACCTGATTATCCTTGAAATAATCACTGTGGCCGTGGGGATGTGATACACTGATGGGGCTGGGAGTAGAGTCAGCAGCACTGGAATCATTTGTGCTGAGAGTGGTGGAGGGGTGTATAACCAGACAAAAACAACTTTTACTTATCAGAAGAAGGATGAATGGACATTGGGCAAGAAAAAAAACAATAGAGAACTTTACACATTTTATGGATACACATCAATTTTACCCAACCATTGGCAAATAGTAGGCAATATCTATATCAGTGTCCTCCCATCCTTTACCCAAAGCCAACAGTGGAAATTGGTCATAGCCCTCTTGTCCAATGAGCTCAGCATATATCAGTATTTCAGAATCCTACTCAACAGAGTGTTCCTGGAGTCTGATATAAATTGAAAGAAGTTTCCGTGAAAGATGAAACTATTTTCTCCCTCCAGATCATTTGCAAGTGAACTGTTAAACCATATTATTCCTTCCTGGTGCATTCTGGTTGACTTTTTAAAATTTTCGTAATGTGATGTTTTTGCTTACGATGTTTTATCTTGCTACATTTGGCCTATTGTCCTAGTCTGTTTGGATCTTATTTAGTCTTGCTTTTCTCATTCAAGTTTCTGTTATACTTCAAGTTTCTTGCCATCCATAAGGCAGGCCATGTCTGTTTTGATCAATGGAAAGTGGAAGGGCCAAGAACTGAGTTCTTGGTACATCTCAAAACATCAGTCTCCAGTTAATTCCAATTATGAACAACAAAAAATTGGTTCTGGAATGGGAAAATACCAAGTGCAATATAGTTACACACACATATCCATCCAAGTACTATTACATCTCCATTTTTTTTTTTTTCTATTTTTGATTGACCTGGTAAAATAAACCAGTCATACCTAAATTGATTGAGTCTACAGGGTTAACTAGGACAAAAGGCAATTCTTTTAACAAAGAAAACTTCAATCTGTATTAACTAATTCCATCATAGCTGCAAAATAAAGTATTTTTCTTTTTCCAGCATTGCAAGTTGCAAGAAGCACCATGGCCCTGGAAAATAATGTGCTTGGGTGAAACAGAATCAGTTCGGCTTATGCTGATAGTTTGTTTAGCTTGATCTAGGAAGAATTTAAGGGCATACATGGGGTGGAAGAGCTGTGCCCTGCCTCCCGTGGGAATCCAGATCTGCAGGGCAGGAGGATAACTGCACATCAGAATGTAAGCTCCTCCTGGTATTTGGGAATCTGCCTCTCATGGCTTAACATAGATTCTGTTCTCACACCCCAGCCTGAGAGGTTCATTTAGGATGCCAAGGAGCAGGCTTCCATGGGACATTTGATTCCTATTGTAGAAGTTTAACCAATAGAGGTCATTGGGGTTTGGGGGTTTTGTTTGTTTGTTTGTTTTAGTAGTGCAAGAGCACATGGGACCAAGGGCTGGGCTGGTTGTTTGTACAACATAGATCACATCAATCTTTTTCTTTGGCCATCCCCCTACTGCTTGAAGAAGTCTTTCAGAGTATCATTGCTGGAACTCATGGAGCCAAAAGCAGAAGCGTCATCATTTCTTGTTAGTTGACCTTAAACCATCGTTGTATCTCCCAGCTGATCTTATAGTCTTATTTCTTGACCTAAGACTCTTTCTTACTTTTTCAACAATGTCATTACCTCCTAGCCCTCTCCTTCATTTCTGCCACTGAAATCACCTTTGTTACAGTGTGCAGAGGCCTCCAGTGTTGGAGAAACTGGACTAAGCACTTTACATCTATTATAACCTATATAATATTCATTCAGGCCCTAAGAGAGAAGCAGTATTATAAACTCATTTTGCAAACATGGACACTGAGGCTCAGAAATACCAAGATCTGGGTGCGTGAATATAGAAGCAAGAATCTAAGCCAGGCCTTCCCTCAGAGCTAAATGGTACCACAGCATTCAGCACCTTTCCCTCCTAGTGGGTGATTCAACCGTTGTGGATGGAGCACCTACTGTATCGTGTTGCCCGTGTGGGGACGTTGTGAGAGATGTGATACTCTCAGATCCCTAAAGAAGCTGCCTGTCATCACTTCAAGCATTGGTCCAGAGCAAGGGGCTTGTAGCCAATTGGAAATTTGTTCATGATCAAATGTAAAGCTCCACCCCTGAGGTGGCTCCAGAGATAGCCTTAGATGTGCCTTGAGTGTTGGCACAACACACCTCCGAACACCTTTCTAAAAGCCTGATGTGCCTCTACTAGAGATGTGATACTTCAGCCAAAGATGCCTGTGACAGCACCAGGTACAGGACTCTGGGGAGGGCCTCCGGACTGCCTGAGCCAAGTCCAGAGATGCAAAGACTGAGTCTAAACAGTTGACATGGCTGAGATTTACAACTAGGCTTAAAGAAGACACTAGTGAGCCCTGAGTATTATAATATTTGGATTTGAAAGTATATTGAAAGTATTGCTTCTGGGCTTCCCTGGTGGCTCAGTGGGAAAGAATCTGCCTGCCAAGGCAGGAGACACAGGTTCAATCCCTAGTCTGGGAAGATCCCACATGCCATGTAGCAACTAAACCTGCGCACCACAACTATTAAGCCAGTGCTTCAGAGCCCATGAGCCACAACTACTGAGCCCATGTGCTGCAACTACTGAAGCCCTTGCATCCTAGAGCCTGTGCTCTACAACAAGAGAAGTCACCACAATCAGAAGCCTGTACACAGCAACTAGAGAGTAGCCCCACCTGTCACAACTAGAGAAAAGCCCGTGTAGCAACAAAGACCCAGCACAGCAAATAAATAAATAAAATTTTTAAAAACTGTATTGCCTTTGGGCAGGGTGGAATGGGAAATGACTGTTTTACTGGTATAGAGCCTCTTTTGAGGTGATGGAAAAGTTTGCAGTTAGGTTGAGGTGATGGTTGTACAGCATGGTGAATATGCTAAATACCATTAAAATGTATACCATAAAGTGGTTAATTTTATTATGTTATATGAATTTCTCCTCTGTGAAAATAGTTAGAAAAGTGAAAAAAGAATTTCTTCTGCCCAATGCCATAGTGCCTGCAGTGCTGTTGTTCATGGTAGGGCTAACCATCCTTACCACCTCCTCCCTCCAGCCCCTGTTCCCACCTGGATCCATTACACACAACCCTGTACTTGTCTGAAGCATTGAGAAGGTTGCTTCCAGACCCCCTTTTCTCTTTTACTTTGTCTTCCCTGTAAGAAGAGGCGTGCCTTCCCAGATTGGTGGGGGAAAAAAGTAAACTGCCTCATGTCTTTGTCTTAAGGCCATCCACGGACCTTCTTAGCAGTTCTGGATTTATACTGTTATCAGTTTTACTGCATATACTACTTGTAAACAGAGGGACCTGAGATCCTTCCAGTGCTTTCCAGAGCTACCTTCTTCCTTGCCAGGTGCTCCTTGCATCACTCCTTGTCATCAGATCAAAGTATACCCCTCCGTTTGTGTTCATGTTCTCATCTGCAGGAATACATTGGCTTCATTTCTCTAGGAAGGGCTTTTCTTTAGGTAACATGTTACCTGCTTCCTCATCCACCTTGAAATTCTCAGTGTTTAGCAACAACCACCGAAAAGTGACATGAAGCTATTTGTGCAATAAAAAATGTAGTTATTGATTTCTTTTACATCAGTTTGCATTTTAAATTCAAGTCAAGGAGCTCTTTTCACAGTCAATCACCAGTGGCTTAGGTTCCATGTGCCCTTCTAGGCTGATGTACACGTGACTAAATATTTAGAAGGACAAGTAAGCTTGCTCTTGGGAAATCTGTGGTGTCCAGGGATCTGGAACCTCAAAGGAAAACAAAAAGGTCTTTTCATCCTTTTGCTTAGTTTGACTTGTTTCTTCTTTGGAAGCTAATTTCTAACTGTAATCACAGGAGAAAGGAGGTTTGAGCAATTATGCTGTGAATCTGATCTATGGAAGCAGCCCGCTGGGATACTGCTTTCTTCAGGAGCTATAATTTTGGCCAAAATCATCTGGGAAATTTTCCTCTTCTAATTTATTATGCCTATAGAGACCTTGTTAACCATGCCAAAAATGCTTCACATTTGTATAGCCATTTTAGATTTTTTTCTAAACCCTTGTCAAATTAATCATCTCACTTGATCCTCACAAGTCTCTTGAAAGGTGGATAGAGAAGGGGTTAGGACCCACATATTACAGATGAGGAACATGAATCCCAGAGAAGTTAAGTAACTTATGCAAGATCACACAGCTTCCAGCCAGAGATCACCAAGTCTAGAGACCATATTTCTAACCCTATCACTTTACACATAGAGTAAATCACAAATACGGATTGCTGCCTGGTTGATCTATATCAGAAACCCAGCTGTGAAAGTTCCAAGAAGTGAAATTCCATCCCCAGACATATTTGGTTCACCCTTCTCATTAATATTTGACTTTGGCATCACAGTTGTTCTTTCCGCAGCATGTGTAACATGAAGTGATTTGTTGTTTTTGTTGTTCTCTTTGGTGTCTGCCTGATGCTTGAAAAATCAGAGGATGGGGTAGTGACTTGGGTAAATCTTCTTTTGATCTGCTTTAAATGAAATCCTATTTACAAGAAACACTTCACTTCTTTTGATGTGCAGCTCACTAATTAGTTCACATCCGAGAGCAGGTTCCCTGGGGAAAAAAAATTAATTAGCTCATTCCATCTAGAAAAGACACAATTCTTGAACTAATTGTGGTATTTGAATGATTAATCTCCTTTAAATACACATGTGTTCAGGAATTTTACAGTTAGGAGGAATACGTAATGAAAAGAGAGAAAGCAAAGGGTAAAGGAACAAGGTAGAGATTCAAGGCAGATGTCCTGTTGAGGGCCAGGGAGAAAGTTTGGATATCCTTTATGATTCAGATAGAATATTATTAATATGCAAAATAATGGAATAAGCAATATTTGTTCTGAAACCTTCTCATGTCTCTCACTTTTTCTTCTGTAAAATTCCCTAGAAGCCAGTCTCTCTCTTTTTTTTTTTTTAATTTTTTTTAAATTTATTTATTTATTTATTTATTTATTTGTAGAGTGTATCTTTTTTTTTTTTCCATTTATTTTTATTAGTTGGAGGCTAATTACTTTACATCATTACAGTAGTTTTTGTCATACATTGAAATGAATTAGCCATGGATTTACATGTATTCCCCATCCCGGTCCCCCCTCCCACCTCCCTCTCCACCCGATCCCTCTGGGTCTTCCCAGTGCACCAGGCCCGAACAGCATTGAAACATGTATATTATCTGGGTGAAACAGATCACCAGCCCAGGTTGGGTGCATGAAGCCAGTCTCTTTAAGGTCAATCAGACTACTGTGAATCTGCTGCTGGAGTGGAGGGTAGGGGGGTGAGTAGGGAAGAGAGAGAGTTATTTAACTTATACTGAATAGTTAATGGCTGATATCACTTTCCATCTAGCTTTGCTCCTTCTGCAATTTTTACACTTTAATAAGAAGCTGAAATTGTGTCACAATGACTGATCTTCTATTTGTGGATATCAGGAGATGGCATATATTCCTTTCTGATTGTCAGTGGCTGTCTGATTTACGTCACAACCTGTTTACAACAGATTTGTGGAAAATAATGCTGTGATACATTGTAATTTCTTCCATGGGCACAGAAATTTGGGATTGGCTGTACATAAATCATGTGTCTACCCTCCTGATTATGGCTTATAGGAGCGAGCAATACTATTTAGCATAGCAGGGAGACCTCTACATGGTTCATGAAATCACATTGTAAAGAGTATCACCTACTCCACTCAAAAGGTTGGTTGCCACTATAGATTGTATTTCTGATGGGGAAGGGTTTTTCTTCACTTCAACATTTATATTATAAATTCCTTGAGAATAGAAACTTTCTTTTTGTATATTAAGTGTGCAGCTCTAGTTGGTCCTAAATAAATATTTGTTGAAACAAGCACAAGGAGATAACAGTAAGTGCAGAAAGAAATATGCTACTAAATAAAGGTTAGGTGAGACTGAGGAAGGATATAATATAACTGACTTGTAGTAGTCAGGGTTCTCCAGAGATAAGATATATAAAGAGGAAGATTAAATGTATTTATATCAGTTGTGTCGGACTCTTTGCGACCCCATGGACTGTAGCCTACCAGGCTCCTCCCTCCATGGGATTCTCCAGGCAAGAATACTGGAGTAGGTTGCCATTTCCTTCTCCAGGGGATCTTCCTGACCCAGGGATCGAACCTGGGTCTCCCGCATTGCAGGCAGATGCTTTAACCTCTATTTATAATGTATTTATATATAACATGTATGCATGCATGCATGCCAGTCTCTTTCAATCATGTCCTACTATTTGCGATCCTGTGGACTGTAGCCTGCCAGGCTCATCTGTCCATGGGATTCTCCAGGCAAGAGTACTGGAATGGGTTGCCATGTCCTCCCCCGGGGGATCTTCCTGACCCGGGGATCGAATCTGCATCTCTTACATATCCTGCATTGGCAAGTGGGTTCTTTACCACTAGCGCCACCTGGGAAGCCCATAAATATGTATATTTTTATAATTATATTATAGATATACATTTATTATATAGTATATTTAATACATACAATAAAAGATTTATGTATTATATAAATTTATATATTATAAATATATTGATTTATATTATAAAATATATTTATAAACAATAAATGTATCTAAAATATATATAGTTTCAGATAAATATATTTAATCTTCCTCTCTATATATGCTATTACTTCTGTTTGTTATGAGGGATTGACCCATACAATTATGAAAGCTAAAAAGTCCCAAGATCTACCATCTGCAAGCTGGAGATTCAGGAAAGACAGTGTTATAGTTCAGTCTGAGTCTGAAGGCCTGAGAACAAGAAAAGCTGAGGGTGTTAAGTCTCAGTCTAAGGGCAGGAGATCGATGTCCCAGCCAAGAGAGAACAAATTCTTCCTTTCTCCATCTTTTGTTATATTCAGATTGAATGATACCCACACACATAAGGTAGGGCAATCTGCTTTACTGAGAATTTCGGTCTGAGAAACACGGTCACAGACACATCTGAAATAATGATTAGCCAAATTTGAGACACTCCATAAACCAGTCAATTTAACACATAAAATTAACCATCATAAGACCCCTTGGTCTTCTGTTTCAAGACTGGTGTGTTTCAGTTACCCCTTGGTAACTGAAATTAAGCAGACTTTTAGCTCCAGTCATCCTGGGAGTGTACACGAAATGAGCAACATGTTGGGTTATAGAGTTCTCATTCTATTATTTAAAACCTATGCAAGTCCATCTGGAGGGACATTTTTCCTTTTGCTAAGTCCTCGGAGAAATATGTCATATGGTTTATCCTTATTAAAGATCAGAGAGTAATTGAATGGCCAGATCTTTGAAAAGGGTTTTGTAAATATTTAATTCAGCAATATTTGTAAATGAAGTGGGATTTTTGTTTGTTTATTTTGTATCAACTCTCTCTAAGATGTAGTGGAAATAGCATTAAATTGTGAGGCAGTGAAGATATTTTTGAGATAATATGAAACAAAATAGTATGGTAGGAGAGTTAGCCTTGGAATTCCCGCCAGCTCCCCATCCCTAAGGTGGGCTTCAGCCTTCTCTGTGAACCTTTCCCTTGGGCCTTGCTCTTTTGTTCAGGCCCGCCTGTGCCCCAGGATGGAACTGAGGCTCTCACTGTGAGGTGCAGGCAGAGTTCACCCTCATATATGGAACGTCTTCCTCCTTCTCAGCTCCATCAGGTACACTGAGGCCCAGTGTGATGCAAGGAGCAAGCGCAGGTGCAACCCTGCCTCTGCCTCACGTGTTCACATAACCTTAGGTTAATCATTTTTTCTGTCAGGGCTTTGCTTTCTTCCTTGAAAAACATAGGGAGTTGGATTACCAGGAATCTGAAAACTCATTCTATAAAGGTCCAAATAATAAATATTTTAGGGCTTTGCAGCCCATGTGTTCTCTTAATTATTGTTGTTTAGTTGCTAAGTCATATCTGACTCTTTGCAACCCGCTGGACTGTAACCCACCAGGATCTTCTGTCCATGGGATTTCCCAGGAAAAAATACTAGAGTAGGTTGCCATTTCCTTCTCCAAGGGATCTTCCTGACCCAGGGATCAAATTCACGTCTCCTGTTTGGCATTTGAATTTTTTACCACTGAGCCACCTGGGAAGGCCTTACAGTTCCTTTGCAACAATTCAAATCTTACATTATAGTATGAAAACACTCAATATGCAAAGAAATGGTGTCACTGTGTTCCATTGTAACCTTATTGACAAAAACAGGCAGTGGACTAGATTTGGCCCACCGTTTGGTGACCCTTGGATTAAGGGATCAAAAGACAAAGCTGTTCAACAGCACTAGAATGTACACCACAAAAGCGAACCATATATGTAACTAGAATTTTCTGATAGCTATTTTCTTTAAATTCTACTTAAAAAGTAAAATTTATTTAAATAATGCATTTTATTTAACTTGGTATATCCAGACATGACTATTTCATTATCTAATCAACATGGAAACTTATTCATGATATAGTTTCCCTTCTATTTTTTATACCAGGTCTTAAAAATCTACACTATATTTTGTATGCCAGCACATCTCAGTTGGACCAGCCACATTGCATAGACACTATGGTTAGTCTAACGTGGTTAGACTACATTGCCGGACAGTGCAGTTCTAAGAGGTTTTTTCCTACTCTGTACCTATTTCTGACATTCTGCCAGAAAACACATAACAACAGTCTGTTGTTCTGTTTCCTCATCCCCAACAATTTAATATACAAATCTGTAAAAAATGTGATAATGAATGTTGGTAGGTCAGTATAGTGTCTAGGTGACTTGATTATTATCTCCACTGCAATTAATAAATAACTAATAATGTCTTTATGCATATCTTGCAAGAAGTGCCCCCTCCTGCCCACCCTCAGCACCTTCCTAATGAGAGAGATATGTGAACATTCACTCTTGGAGGTGGTGGAGAGTTAGGGTGAGTTAGAGGCTTTGCTTGCAAAAGCCACAACAAGTAGGACATTTCTTTGAAGTCTCATGTTATACTTTAATATGTATTCAACTTTGCTTTCTTCCCCACAATGTAATCTGATTTAATTTTTAATTTGTATTTCTTACCAAGTAAAGCAGTCAAACCCTTGCCCTGCACAATACCCCTCCAGTCCCTTCCCTTCTCACCACAGATCTGTGACAAATTCATGCTCTGTGAAGACGTACATTTCCCATGCTGCCTTTGGGGCTAGGTTTATGGAACAATGCGTTAAACTAGAAGTTTTAACTGATACCTCAAATGCTAAAGTCAGGTAAGACAGACCATAATGCAGAAATTTTCTTTGAGAATTGGTTAGGTGACTCTTGAATCCCATGGTGAGGGTATAAATGTGTTGAGAGAGAGTATGTGTAGTGAGCATTTTTTGGAGAAAGCTGAGCTATGGTTTTACTCTCCTCTTCAGTCCACTTCCTCCCAACCTGAGGCCTTTACCTGAGACTTTAAAGATATCCAGGGGGCTTGAGGGTACACAGGGACTGAATCTAAGGGTGAGAGAAGGGCTGGTTAGAGTCATAGGTAAGCAGAGAAGAGGTGCTGTGCTGGGATCAGCTTGAACTCCCAGAATTTTCCAGAGTCAGGTATTCCTGCAGACCAGACATGGGCCATGAGTGAGGAAAACCAGATGAGTGGTGGGAGAGGATGGAAAAGAAAGCCACTTGCCCCTTTCCCACACTTCTAACCTAGATGTAGGTGGATGGCAAATGTGAGTGAAGGATGAAACTTTGCTCCTTTGACCTTCTTAGGACCAAGTGAGTCTGCACTTGGAGTTAAAGTGATCAGCACACTTTGTATTGTCTAAGAGTAATCAGGAAAGTTCTCCTCCCCCATTGAAAGAAAAAAAATAGGAAAATAGAACATGACTGTGTCATGAAGGAGTGAAGAATTTTGGCCTTAGGATGTTGTAGACTCTTGGATAATATATTATGTTAAAGAATAGACAGGTAATGGAGGAAGTTTCCTGCCCATTGGATTAACTCCAAAGATGGGAATTTGAGGCCCTGTTCACTTGACTGGTCAGGGGGATATTTGGTGGGGGTGGTGGGTTACTCCAATTATACCAGATCATCACCCATAACAGTAACAGTACAGCTAGCACTCAGTCTTAGAAAAACAGGCAGATCCAATCCAGTAGAAGGGATAATCATAATAATAACAGATAATTTGCTAAGAGATCTATGTGTATTATGCACTGTAGTCTTCTTATAGCAACATGATAGTTTTATATCATTTTATAGAAGAGGAAAGGGAAGCTAAGTAACTTCCTCCTAGTCCCAGAGGCAGCAGGTAGCAATGCTGGGATCTGAGTGAGGTTTTGTTTCCCTTAACTACTGCTCCTTGCTGATCCTCTTTCCCAGCCCAACCATGACCTCAGGGCTTTTATCGTACTTTTCTGTCCCTGTTCTCTTCTTCCTTCATCCTCTCTCCCAGTTGATGAAATTTCATTTTCAACTAAGCACAAGTCCCTCTAATTTCCCCTCACCAGAACACTTGAAATGAACAGACAGACTCGAAGCCAGCAAACCTTCTGACTCCAGGGAGCACACCAGGAATCTTAGCCAAATCCTGCAAAATGCTGGCCAGGCAAGAAAACAAAGATGGAGAGAAGCAAGTTCTCACGACTTGATGGAATCAGGTCAGAGTTCTGTTGACATTGGGGTTGGGTTGAGGATGAAGAGGGAATCTATCTGAGGGTTCCAAGAAAATACCACAGTTGGAGCTTATAGAATAAAAGCAAAATGCCACCGTCTCATTAATTTGTCTGCCCATAGGGTGTGTCAACTGCAAATTGGCTCTTGCTTGTTGACTATAAATTGGCATTTCCCAAGAACATTTGCCAGCAATGGAATGACAACAACAAGGGTGTTTGCCATGTGCTGTGCTCTGCTTAGTCACTCAGTCAGTCCAACTGTTTGTGACCCCATGGACTGTAGTCCACCAGGCTCCTCTGTCTATGGGATTCTCCAGGCAAGAATACTGGAGTGGGTTGCCATGGTGTCTTCCAGGGGATCTTCCCAACCCTGGAATTGAATCCAGGTGTCCTGCATTGCAGTCGGATTCTCTACCACCTTGCGAGCCACCAGGTAAGCCCAGCTGCTGCAGCTGCTGAACTTCAGCAGCCCCTGAGGGGAATTCAGGGTGGAGAATGAGGCACCCTGTGCTCTAGAGGAACTGGTGGAACAGATCTTGAGATAATTAGATATTTTCAGGAACTGATTTCATGATCCCAATCCTTTGTTGTTCAGTCAGTAAGTCGAGTCTGACCCTTTGCAACCCCAGGGACAGCAGCATGCCAGGCTTCCCTGTGCTTCACTATCTCCCAGTGAAGTGAAGTGCAGGTGGTTCAGTCATGTCCAATTCTTTGTGACCCCATGGGCTATACAGTCCATAAAAATCTCCAGGCCAGAATACTGGAGTGGGTAACCTTTTGCTTCTCCAGGGCATCTTCCCAAACCAGGGATTGAGCCCGGGTCTCCCACATTGCAGGCAGATTCTTTATCAGCTAAGCAACAAGGGAAGCCCAAGAATACTGGAGTGGGTAGCCTATCCCTTTTCCAGTGGGTCTTCCCAACCCAGGAATCAAACCAGGCTCTCCTGCATTGCAGGCGAATCCTAGATATCTCTCAGAGTTTGCTCAAACTCATGTCCATTGAGTCAGTGATATCATCCAACCATCTCATCCTCTGTCACCCCCTTCTACTCCTGCTCTCAATATTTTCCAGCATCAGGGTCTTTTCCAATGAGTCTGCTCTTTGCATCAGGTGGCCAAAGTATTGGAACTCCAGAGTCAGTCCTCCCAATGAACACCCAGGACTGATCTCCTTTAGGATGGACTGGTTGGATCTCCTTGCAGTCCAAGGGACTCTCAAGAGTCTTCTCCAACACCACAGTTCAAAAGCA